TGAGACAGACGGCTGCTGTGAGAGCCTTACCTAGTGGATTCCTGCAGGGAGGGCCATCCCAGGCCCCCAGACTTGTAGAGCCACCAGTGGGTGATTCCAGTCTGAGAGAGCTGCAGGCATGCAACTCCAACCCATGAGTGTAACACTGTGTGCTGCACCCAATGAAGCCAATAAGTATAGGGCATCCTGGAGCCCTGTGGGACCAAGCTCTGCCCCAGTGTGTCCAGAAGATGGAAAATCAAGTCAAAGAAGGTTATTCTTGAACCTTATGGTTTAATGTTTGCCCCTGTATTACATTTTGAAGTTGCTTGAAAGTTTTTACCCCTTTCTTTTTTCTTATTTATCCCTTGTGGAATGGGAACGTCTATTGGAGGCCTGTCCAACCACTATATTTGGAAGCACATAACATGTTTGAGTTCACAGGTTCACAGCAAGAACAGTTTCAATACGGATAAATTGTACTTTGAGTCTTATCCATATCTGATTTAGATAACACATAAATGAGACTTTGGCCTTAAAACTTTAAAGGTGATGCGGAATGAATTAAGACTTTTGGGGTTATTGGGGAAAAGACATGTATTTTGCAGATGAGAAGGATATAACTTTGAGAGAACCAGGGACAGAATACATTAATCTAAATTTTTATGGCCTCCTTCCCCACAAAAATGCATAGGAACATGCATAGTTAAAAATGCAAAACTACATACAAGCTTCCCAGACACCACATTAATCCTCTTCTCTCAGCACCCACAGAATCTCCCCAAGGCACAGCACAGGGAGCAGAGCAAAGAATGGCCATTGGCTTAACAATGCCTATGATAGGAAACCAGGCCTGGGGAAGGTGGCGCACACTGTCAGCTGTGGTGTCACAGATCCCTCGAGATTCACTTTTCTTGACTTGAAAATGGGATGTACCAGCACAAGCGTTCATAAGGGCCCTTTACACTGTACCCTGCAGGATGATTTCCCAAGAAGGTGGATTTCAGAGAGCACAGTGTCTGCTTAAGCTCTCTGGGTAGACAGGCTGCAGGAAGGAAACTTGAAGTAGACTCTTAGATACTGGGTTCCCCTTTAAGGACTCTAAAATGACCCACACAGAGGCTTTGCTGATGGGGCAGTGAGAGAGGGACAGGTAGATATGTAACTGGACAGGAAGGCAATGACAACCCTTGGATGTCCATGTGAGGAGCTCAGAGCTAGTGATGGGAGGAATGGGGGCAAAGACTCAGATGATGCTAATTGCTGGAGAAACTGGATGGGGCTGGGGACAAGGCAAGATCCTGTCAGAAAGATTGTCCCCAACTGTATCCTAACCCTGCTTCATAGCCTGGGTGATGGTAGCCTCATGTGTACCATTTCTGCAGGGGCTGCCTGGAGAGAGTTGCTGTGGAGAAAGCAGTACCAGTGGAAGAGAAGAGGAGGGGCCTGGATCATGGCAGCAAGAGGCTGGTGGCCAGGCTGGGACCCTCAATGCAGAGGCATGACTAGTTGATGGCTCTGAAGGTGAGGAGGGGGAAGGTGGTGGGTGTCATAATGAAGCGAAGGACCATGTTTCCATCTTCTTGGGTTGGGGTCTCCACCACAAAGTTTTTCAGCATCTAGGACTGAAACTGGGTTTCCCTCTGGCCTAGTCAGCAGCTCAAGGACCTGGGCCAGCCTCCTCCCCCCCTCCTGGGTGCAGAAATGCTGAAAGAACAGGAGCCACAGAAGTGGTCCCAATCAGGCACATGCCTGAGAAGTTCAGCCCCACAGCCCAGCGTCCTCTGCACCCTCCCTAGGTCTTTCCCAACATGGCCCAAGCCCCACTGTTTGCTCTACTGTCCCTTCCCCACTCTTGCCTATCCCCCTACCTACCCTGTTTAGCAACCACTCTGCCGAGGCCTTACCCTGCCCCGGTTCAGACCTGGCCCCAGTGGGACCCCGCCCACTCTGCCCAGGGTCCAACCCACCCCACCCAGGCCTGCTCACCTGATGCAGAAGCAGCAGCATCATCCCTTCTGCCAGGCGCCGCCCCAGGCACTGGCGCACACCAAAGCCAAAGGACAGGTAGTGGAAGTTCCTGCTGGTGCCCCTCATGTCTAGCCAGCGCTGGGGGTTATAGCGCTCTGGTCTCGGGAACAAGGCAGGGTTGCGTCCGAATGAGTAGAGGAACAACTGGACCAATGTCTGCAGAAGGTGTGGAGGAAGGGTCAGCCACACCCCCAGGAAAGAGGGTAGGGAGGCACTGCTGGAGAGGCTGTGGGGCTCACTCACCCCTTCTGGGATGTGGTAGTTCTGCAACACCAAGTCTGAGTTCACCAGTCGTTCCACAGTGGCACCCACCGGGTAGAGCCTGGGAAGGGAGCACCAATAAGTTCTCAACAATGACAGGACCCTCCGTGCCCTCTGCAGCCTTCCCATCCAAGATCCCTCATAGGTCCCATGGAAAGCTTAGATCATGAGGAAGTGCTTTCTTGCACCTGCTAGACTCAGCCGAACCTTCTGGCCTGAGCACCCCACGCCAAAGAGGATTCACCTAGATTGGTCCCCAGGATATTGAAGAGGATACAAAAGGAAGAAGAGTCCCTCTCCTTTAGAGAGGAGGAGGAGGTGCACAGGGAATGGATTCCTAGGCAAGGCTGCTTGTAGGCCCCTTTTTCTGTCTGCCCTCCACCAGCCTCAGCGTATGCTGCTCTCCAACAGAGGGGCCAGGACGGCTGGGAGGGGTCAGCCAGCACCCAACTCAGCGTCTCCTTGAGGGCTGCCCTCAGCAGGGGCAGCTCGTTGATTGCCCTCTGGGGATGCTCAGTGATAGTGGCCTCGACTGCCAGGCTCTCCTGGCATAGTGCCTGCTGCACATTGGGGTTCCTAGCCAGGTCAAAGAGTGTCATCAGCTAAGGGAGGACAGTCTGTAGGAGCCAAGGGTTCAGACCTTGGCACAGGGAAAACTTCAGCACCCAGGGAACCCCTTCCAGGATACTGCCCTCCACAGAGTGGGGAAGTACAAGCCGTGAGCAGGACAGTGCCTGGGGACCCTGGACTTTAAATCCTAAAGCCCAGTGGACACCTTTTCCTGGGTTCTCCAGAGGACAGCAAGCCCCACCCCAACCAAGGACTGGTTCTTCTCCAGTATTCAGGGTCAGGTTCTCCTCTGGGCCCAAGAGGGACTGGCTCTCAGCTCTGTCAGGGGGGCGCTGCAGCGCCAGGTCCATCTGCTCCAGATGGGGAATCTCCCCTGGACATACACAGCCCTCATCCCAGGACACGCTGCTTAAGCTGAACTGGCCTCTTGTGGGCCCTCCCTGCCTCGCGGAGCTTCAGTCCCTGCTGTATCCTGAGGCACTAAAGGGATCCTCAGGGAGCAGACACAAACTCTGACCTCCCCCCGCTGCCTTGCTCTAGCTTGGAGAAGGCAGTGTCCCTGGTCTGACTAGAGCTCTGCCTTCTCTCGGCCTCATCTGCCTCCACCTCGCTGGTGGCTCCCCCCACTCTCGCTGCCCTCTGATTCCGGACCACTCCATGCCCTGGGCTGTTTCCCTCGTGCTTCTCCTTTGGCTTCTCTGAGATCTGCTTTGTTTTCCTACTTTCTTCTGAAAGTCTCCCTCCTCCAGGAAGCCTTCCGGGTCATGCCTGTGGATGCTCATGACCTCTCCTAGGCCCTCTCTCCCTGGCTGGGTGCATCTCTGCCTCTGTTCAGTGGGTTTCTCCACCATTGCTCAGTGCCTCTCTCTGAATCCAGGTCCCTGACCCAGAGCAGACCCTTGGGAGATGAAAGTTGGCCTGCAGACTGGAAGCTCAGTTGCACTAGGTTTCCTGGGTCAGGCCTGCCTTGCCTGGCTGTGTCGCCATCTCCTCTGTGCTCCATGTCTCCAGCCCTGTGCTTCTCTGCTCCCCACACCCCGCCCCTCCCTGGAGACTAGAAGGGGTCGCTAGTAGAAGCTCAAGCGAACCTGACACAATGGGAAGGGACCCTGTGCAGCCCGCCAGCCACCTCTCTACCCCTTCTTTTCATCCCATGCCCAGGACATCTGAATGGGGGCTGAGCTGTGGCATGTCCCCAGTCCTTGTCCACCCTTCTTCGTGCCCGGACCATGGTTCACCACATGAGGAACTGCATACTCTGCCTCCTTGGAGGATAGGGCTCATGTTCCCTGCCTGCCAGTGTTTTTATCACTTCATCATCTGAAGATGGAGGCTGAGGGCAGCAGGAATGGGGGAGGCATCGCTTGGGAGTGGAGAATGCAGGTGACATATAGCATTAGAGGACACTGCCTAAGAGTCGCAGGGGTGTCACACTCTCTGAACTGAGCTGGTTTCTGTTCTCACAGTGTCTGAGCTGCCAGCTGTAATATCCACAGCATTGGCCTTGATGGCATCTGTTGACAATTCTGCATGCAACAGGAGCTCTACAGCGATGCTGCCGTGGTGCTGAGAGGAGCTGTCTGCCAGCTCTGCATAAATTTTCTGGATGTAATTGTCACCTGTAGGGGATCAAGGAGAAAGTTCTCAGGCCTTGGTGCTGGGACATACCTCTTCTTTGTCCTCCTCCTACCCTCCCTGCCACCATCACCCATGTCTCTCCACCCCTGTTCCAGTATCTCTGGATTAACCAGCCCAGCCACAACCTCCCTCTCAATCACCATGGTAGGACATTGAGGACACCGCCACTCTATCGTGGCATCTCATTTCTCCCCTGGGCTGTGGAGAATGGGAAACTAGGTGACCAGAGCCTCCCAATCCTGTAGAATCGCCAGGTCTTTAGGCCTTACCATACTGGAAGATGCTGTCCCAGGCCTCAAAATGCTCTTTCCACACTTTGGGACTGGTCCAGCGGGACAGGCTTCTGGGCATGAACATGAGCTGCACAGTGGATTTGAACATGGCCTCCAGGCCATGAATTAAATTCAGGCTGGCTGAGCTGGGATTTTGACCAAGGAGGCCCAGCCGCTCTCCAAAAAGTGCTAAGTTGCTGGCTGCAAGAAAGAGGCATTGCTGAAGCTAAGGCTGTCCTGGGCCTCCCAGAGACCCCTCTCAGGACACTCCTGGCCACTCCAGCATCCCTGAGGCTGAACCTTCCCTCCTGACCCCACACCTTCTATGGTATAGTGGAAGATGCTGGACTGGATATCCAGAGTCAGGCTCCCCATGGAAGTCTGCGGCACCTTGTTCTTCAGGGCCTGGGTGAAGTCCCTCGCCACCATATCCACCATGGGGAGGTACTTCTGGATGGCCTTTGGCGACAGCACATCTGGGTTCAGCCGCAATCGGTTGAGACGCCACTCAGGCCCATTCCTACAGAGCAGGGAGCAGGCCTTGAGAGGCAGCCAGGATAAAATCTCAAGCTCCCAAATCTGTATTCTGTCCTCTTTGTTCCCAAGACATGAGTGGGGCAGGGACCTGATGGGACCAATGCAAACCGTCTGCACTTTGCTCTAGCTGCAGCATTTCTTCTCAGAGCGGCCTCCAGGTGCTGGGCCTTAGGCCACCCATGTCTAAAACGGGGATGAGCCAGTTCCTTCTGCCTGAAAGTCCTGTGGGGATAACTGAGGTGATTCCTGGGAACTTGTGGGCCAGTGCGGGCACCACATCACTCCTGCAGACCCTCCCTGGGTGCGGAGGTCTCTTCTCTAAGGGAGAGGGCGCCCTTCCTCAAAATTGCCCACACCTTGCCTACACTGTGCCCCAGAGGAGAGAGGCCGCCGCTGCCCGCCCATCTTCCACCTATTCCTCTCCACCCCCCAGCATATTGCCTCTGGGGCAATAGCATCTGCCTGTCTCTGTGAAGTGTCTGCACCTTCTGAGGGCAAAACCAAGCTGTGTCTCTCATGATAGCCTCGAACAGAGCCCAGAGCTCTTGGGGGCCCCACAGATGAACTCCAGGGAATGATGAGCAAGAATTTCACTCTAAGCCACATTCATGCCTAACTACCTTCTTTTTGTATTCCTAGCTGCTTGTGGGTGATGACAATGACCATGGGGATATGTTCGTGTACATGTGTGTGTCCATGCATGATATCAAAACATGTGTACGCAAATAGACCCACACACGTGTATGTACACACACAGACACAACATCCATGCACGCACATACAAATGCACACTAGGGACACCCATGCACACACACACATGACCCATCCATGCAAATACAAACACACAAATAGGCATGGACACACATGAATATCCAAAACATATACAAATGCATGTAGAGAGAAACACAGACTGGAGCACACATGCAAGACTTATACACACTCATAATAACACAAACACAAGTACACCCTTTCTTTAGATACACAAACCAACCCAGGAGGACCTCCTGGGTCCTGACACCTCCCAGACTCCCTCAGTGAAGGCCCTTACTCAGGGGTTTCCATTTTTCTAAACCCTTATTTTTTTTTTAGAATTCAATATTTTAAATTATGATTTTGTGGTATACAGTTAATGGTTTAGGTGTACAATTACGTTTCATTCAGGCACCCTGTTGATAAGAGGTGTTTCCCCATCCCCAGACAGATATTTGCGACTGATAATGCCATCCCCCCTCATAGTTTCCCAGTACCGTCAGCCATTTTCTTATACTATTATATTGGATGTTCAAGGTCCATTATATGAGTGAGAACATGTGACACTCGGATCTTTGTTTCTGTGAGAAGTCACTCAGTATTATAGACTCTAGTTCCATGCAGGTTGCTGCAAAATTCATGATTTTGTTCTTTTTTATGGCTGCGTAGTATTCCATCGTGTATCTG